GGCGCCCTGGCAGGGTGGGAAGGCCTCAGGGCATGGGGCTGCGCAGCGGCCGGGATGTCCCTGCCGCCTCCCGTGCTAGCTGGCCGGGCACCTAACCCTGCGCTTTACCCGTCCTAGATGAGGACGGGGACCTGATCGCGTTTTCCACCGACGAGGAGCTGGAGATGGCGATGCCTTACGTGCAGGACGGTGTCTTTCGTGTTTACATCAAAGGTAACGCCGCGCAGCTCCCCAGGGCGGTAGCGGGTCTCCGGCTTTGCGTTGTGCGCTGGCCGGCTGGCCTCCGATAAGTGGGAGAAGCCCTGGCCCTTCCCCGTGTCCTCGGGGGCCTGGTGCAACCTGCAGCGTTCGGGGGGGGAGGTTAAATAAAGGGCGGGGTAATAGGCCGGAATCTGAGTCCTCCCTTCTGAGGTGGAGTAAAGGGATCACAAGTTTCCTCCTAGCCCTGTCACATCAGCTGGCCCAACACGAGCTGCTGTTGTTATGCTGGCTCCTTGGAAACACTAGACCAGTGTCAATGCTAGACGAGTACTGGTATCTTTAATAGCTACAACAATGCATTAGGAAGCCTTAATTCCAGCTTACTCTTCAGTGCATAGTTGCTCCCTGGTCCCTTCTGTTCATGTAGATACCCGCAAAGCTTTATCTGCAGTCCATCTAATGAGTCACATGAGCCAGCGCTGTCCCCGTTCTCATCTGTTAAGCCTGCTGGCAGTTCTTCCCAACTCCCTCTCCAGAAACATTTTGTTCTTGCAGTGCTTAGGAAGGTAGGAAGAGAAGCCAAATGGGGTAGTATGGTACTAATCTAAAATAAATATGCCAAGAGACTGTTAAGGATAAGGCATGCTCAGTTTGAGGAGCAGGTATATCTGTGAAACCCCTTCGCACTTAGGTTTAAGTTCACTTAAATGCCCCCAGCTTGTGTTTGGCAGCCAGTGTAAAAATAAACTGATCTAGTAAGTCAATACTGCTCTGACAAGGGTTGTTTGTGCTTCCTTCTCTGCCTGATTTCCAGCCTTTAAATAGTAACCTTGTTCTTGATGCAAAGTTTCCTTTCCTTAATAGAGAAAAAGGAGTGCAGGCGGGAACATCGCTCGCAGTGCAGCCAGGAGCCTCCTCGCGACATGGTGCACCCCAATGTGATCTGTGATGGCTGTGAAGGACCGGTGGTGGGTGCCAGGTTCAAGTGCACTGTCTGTCCAGACTATGACCTGTGCAGCACCTGTGAGGGTAAAGGCATCCACAAGGAGCACAACATGGTGATGTTTCAGAGTCCACTGCTAAATCCATTTGAGGTGAGCAAAATGGCTGGAGGGGAGCTAATGAATGGGATAGTCCTCAAATTTAAGTCAGAAACTTCAGTTACTGAGAATCTGGCTGTGTGAAGAGTCACATGAACATTACCCTTTACAGTGGCTTCCCCGAGGACGCTGGCTCCGTAAAATGCGGCATGGTGTTCCACCCTTCCCATGGATGCACTGCTGGGGATACCCTGGCCCTGCAGCTCAATGCCAAAACTCTGAACAAGCCCAAGCCAGTGCTGCAGCCTCCAGTCCACCCACTGCAGAAGGTAAGAGGTGATGCTCTGGTAAACAAGGTGGTGGTGGAGCCAGAGTAGCTGAGGTTCTGCAGCACAGGGTGAAATCTGGGTGGAAAAATAGACACAAACTTTTTTTTTTGCTTGAAACATAATTAGCATCTTTCAGCACAGAGTGGGATTATTTTAAGGCATGCTTGGGCCTGTGCAATAGATGAGGATGCAGGGACAATCTGGAACCAAACCAAGCTGAGCTGTTAGGTCAAGCATGTCCCTACTGTACTCCAGATCTGCCTTTCAGCATGGCTAATGAGCCTTAACAATGCTAATGCCACTGGTTTTCTGTTCCAGAGGTAGCTCAGAGTTTTTGTCTCCGTACTGCCTTTGTGCAGTGTATGTGAGCGACAGGAAATGAGCACCAAGATCTCATGGGGATACACTCTGTAGGTGCTCTTATAACAGAAATTGTTTTTCTAGAAGCTTCTACTAACAGCCAGCCTCAGGACCCCAATGTCACCTTCTTAAAGAATGTTGGGGAGAGCGTTGCAGCTTTTCTGAGCCCCCTGGGTAAGTGACTCAGTTTGTTATACCAATCCCCAAGACTGGCTTAAAGGTGCTTTTAACAGAAGCAGCAGTCAGCTGTTGTGACTGATACCGGAACTACCTCATGCTACTAAGCCTTGAAAGGCTTAATTTACTCCTGGTACTAATAATGCCTAGGCTTAGAACAGCCACTCACTACCTTTTCAGAGCCCTCCTTTGGAAGGAAATGAGGAAAGATTTCACTAACGTGTCACCACTGCAACACTCTTTTGAAGTCAGTGGTGAGTCAGGATTTTGCCTGGCTTATGTGGACATATAGATAACTTCTGCCCTGACTCTCTAAAAGTACGGCTTGTCTATCTAGAGGAAGGTGACTATTTGGTGCTTAACTATTCTTTGTTTAAAGAATGCTTTGTGTTTTAATTCCTACATGTTACATGGCAAACTAGGATTACAGAAACTTCATAGCATTTAGACTAGGATTGATCAGTATTCTGTTAGAGGACTGTGCTTTGGAAAAACCTGTCTAAGACTTTCTCCATCTCAAATGCATTTCTAGGTATTGAAGTTGATATTGATGTGGAACATGGAGGACAGAGAAGCAAAGTGACTCCTTCTCCCAACCAAGAGAAGAACAGTGCTGAGTCAAGCAGCAGTACTCTTAACCAGAATGTTCAGACCAAACCAGACTGGAATAACAGAGATTCTGCTACAGAAGTAAATGCTGTTGCAGAGCAGATACAAGATATGGTGATAGATCCTGTGCCCACACAAATGGAAGATGGCAGCTTCCAGTCCCAGGTACAAGAACTATGACACTAAGCTAATATGCTTGCTGAGGCCTTACTAGAAAAGAACATAATCATTTAGCATGTATTGTGGAATTGAATATTAAGATGTCAGCAGATTAAGTGATATACAGCACCTTTGCTTTACAGGTTTACAGCAAAGGTGGCGGGACTTCTTGTGGATGTAACCATATTAAAGGCAGATAGTAGGAACATGCATTACACTTGGAAAGCACTGCCACACCTGGACCTTTTTTCTTTCCGTTTCAGGAACACAGTGAGTCCAGCAGTTCATCAGGGGGTGATGAGGACTGGACCCACTTATCTTCCAAAGAAGTGGATCCTTCCACAGGTGAACTGCAGTCTCTGCAAATGCCAGAGACAGAGGGTCCCAGCTCCCTGGATGTATCTCAGGATCCTCCCCAGCCAGGACCTACAGGGCTACGAGAAGCTGCACTCTACCCACATCTCCCACCAGGTACAAGAATGTATGCAGGTTTCATCACTGAGTAATTCTTGCTCAGGAGCTGCCAACTTGCCCCTAACTTTGTTAGCAGGTATGGCAGCTTTTGCACCCTGTTAGAGACAGTCAGGTGTTCTCTTCTTGAATGCAGGCAGTTAAGCCTTAAGACTTCTGACTTCAGACTAATACACCATTCAAGCAACATGAAAAAAGGTGGTATCCTAAACTATGTCCTTGCTGTGTACTCTTGAAGAGAGCCTTTTAATGCAGGATGCAGACCAATAGATCCTCTGGCTTTAAGACAGCATTTTTCTGGTGGGAGCCAGTGACAGTATGCCAGGCCACTTACTTAACTGAGACCAACAGCACAGAGTCCTACAGCAGTGCTAGCAGTTTTCTTAGCTGGTTATGTATTTTGTCTCCCAGGAGGGCAGATGTTTTGAGACAAAGGAGAGCATGTCTTGTAGCATTTAACCAGCTATGCTAGATTTAGTAGGATTAGTGCCAGCATACCTATTGTGTGTTACTTGTGGTATTAAAGCCTTGGCTGGTTTGCCAATTACATGAAATACTTCAACTTTAAACTACTATTCTCAACAGAAGCAGACCCTCGCCTCATTGAATCTCTGTCCCAGATGCTGTCTATGGGCTTCTCTGATGAGGGTGGATGGCTCACTCGACTCCTGCAGACAAAGAACTGCGACATCGGGGCAGCACTAGATGCCATACAGTATTCCAAGCAGCCACCTCACTTGTAGTAGCCTGTAACAAGTACTTTCCTTCTAACTGAAAACAAACAATGCAGTACAACTTACTCAACAGTTGATCTTTCTTCCTGCTAAGGGTTTCTGTCTCATGTTCCTAACTGCTTGTAGAATGGAGGAAAAATAAATACTACTTCCTGTGATAAGTCTGTGTGACTGTTTTAAGTATCACAGCTAGATTACTTGGTTAAAAGAGTAGAAGGACTGGGCTAAGCATGTGATTTCATCAAGCAGCTGCCTGTGCAAGAGAGGCAGTCCAAGACTAGGCCTGCCTCTTTGCACATACCTTGGTGTACCCTCTTGGGGCTCCACTTCTGAAGAGAAATTAAATGCTTTGCTGGCTCTGAAGCCTGTGCTGCAGCTCTAGCACAAGGGGTTGCTATGGGAGATCTAAACAAAGAGGTAGCACAGAGGGGAAAATAGCTGTAGTTTGTAATGGGGAATTAATCACAGAATTGAATTGTCCTGGGCAGCAATCCTTAGAGCCTTGGAGCTTTCTCCCTGCAAGCTGACCTACTTCAATTCTTACTTCTATCTGAGGTTGCTAGACAACACTGTAACCCTAGTACTTGCCCACTGCAACAGTTCCCCCCCCCCCCCCCCTTTTCCCACACACAGCCACAGAGCAAGTAAACAACTTTAATTGTGCAGTTCTGTAAGGCTTAGAATAAAGTAATTTTCAGGTTAAAATCTTGGCTCAGAACTTAACATACCAAGTACATTAGAGACCCACAAGAAAGCAATGCCAAAGATGCCTGAACTTCTCAGAGATCATCATCAAACTCCTCACCAGTGCAGAAGAGGCGTTCACAAGAAACACTGCTAGGCTTTGGCCTAGCGTTACAGTTAACAAGGGTGTTTGCCCTCCTTGTGCTATCCAAACAGCACCTTCCTGCAGTGGTCTCTAAGACACCAGATCCTGCCCTCATCAATTGGCTTTGAGGTTCTTTGAACAACACATTCTCCTCAACTGAGCAACTGGTGCTGGACACCATGGTGCCAAGTGGTTTTGAGGCAAGCGGCTCAGTGCTAGCAACACACTTTATAGATTCAAAACCTGCACCCTGAGGTAGATTTCTTCCAGCCTGCTCTGAGCATCTACTGGCCATACCAGCATCTGCTGCAGTGGTGCTGTGCAGCCCCAACCTTCCACTGCCCTCCTGTGGTGACATGGTGATCCTCACAGCATCTTTGCTATGGCTGTCAGAACATGAGAGAAATTTTTCCCACCTCGAGGGTTTGGTACAAGCAGTTGAGGCTTGTGTATTCTCCTCGGGTACTGTGGACTCACAGACAGCAGGAACAGCATTTCCATGATCTTCATCAGGCACTGCTACTAAGCATTTCCTGCGCTGTAAGAAGACAGAGAGCTTGGTTATAAATCCAGCACGCACCACCAAGCTGCACAGAAGCAGGCAAAGAAAGAGCACTCAGATCTTTCAAATGCACCCAAATTCTCACCAGCGCTCTGAGGCAGAGTTGAGGCTGATGTGCTGGGTGGGCCTAGTGTTACAATTAACAAGGGTGTTTGCCCTCTTTGTGCGATCCAAACAGCACCTTCCTGCAGTGAAGGAACTCTGGGCTGTGAAGACTCAAGCTAGCCAGCTTCACTGGCACTGCAGGTAATCACTGTAGCCTTAATAACTGCATGCTACAGAGGTGCCACTGCTCAGTACGGCAAAGCAGCATAGTGTGCAGCTGTGCTGACAGAGGAATCCGGCTCAACCACTCAGCTAACACAAGTTGGCATTGTTTTTGCCTGACTAAAACCTTTCAGAGAAACTCCTGACACAATTTTCTTCTCCCCAGTCATTCAAACAGAAGAGCAGAGGAAGATTCATAAAACTTCATAAAACTTCAAAATTATGACAGAGAAGAGGATGAGGAGAACACTGTTTTGTTTTACTGTCAGGAAGCATCTTCTACAAGTAAAATACCTCAGAGGTTTTAACCTTTTTGGCTTGGTAGGCAAGCTGGAAAACTCCATTTTCTTCTGCATATTCCTGAACATCACTGGTGAGGAAGCTCTTCTGGTGTTTCCTAGCCAAGAAAACCATTCACAAAGAGGACAGATTAGCTGTGAAAAAAAAAGTGAGGGTTTTTTTTTCCACAAATCACCAGAAATATTCATAAAATGCATGGCTCTAGCAATACAAGAAGTTTTACCCCCAAATACCAAACCCCTGCTCAGCTCAGGTCATACATTGCAACCTGTACTTTGTTCAGAGATGAGCTACCTCCTGCACCTCCAAACCAAATGTCACCGCTCAGGGGCAGGAATTAAAAAAAAAAAAAAAAAGTTCTGTACCTTTGTTCTTCCACAGTGTTATTCCTCTGGGAAAAGAACTGTTGCTTTTCTGTACCTGCCTCCTCCTCTCCATCTTCCTGATCTTCACTGTCCTTGTCCAGATATTTACTCCAGCGACTGACTTCTGCCCTTCCCGCCTACAACATTGGAGAATTACTGAAAACCTCACAATACAGGGTTTCATTTTGGCATTGTTATGTATGTGCTGAATGCCTGAAATCCCAAGTCAGTTTAGGACATGTTCCTGTACCGTGTTCCCAGGTTCAGTATCATGGTGGGGCAGAGAGTTTCTGTATACATCTTATTGTGTCTCTGCTGGAGCCTCTCTGATTATATACACTTATTTATTTCAGCTCTGTGAACCTATATAAAGGGATCACTGATTGCACTTTGATTCACCTAGGTCAGTAGGGGTTGGTATTTAGCTGAGCTTTGTAGGTATCTTACCTGCTGGAGTGAACTGTTTTCATGTTGGGCTGCTATATTTTTGCTCTCATTTACAGATTCTTCTATGCACCTAAAATAGATGTTTAAACTTGGGTTTCTAGAACACACTTCTGTCTGTTCATTTATAATTTTCAAGTCACCTAGTTATAGCACAAGAGATTGGATAGAAAGCATGGATGGGAACACCAGATAGGTGGCATGTCAGAAGAAAAAGGATCTATAGAAAAGCAGATGTCAAATGAGGGATTTGCAAGATACATTGCCCAGATACTTGAAAAAAATCTAGTTAGAGAGTAGCCCTCCTTCTTTCTGTACAAATAGAGTAGCAAGTTTGATCTAAAGCTGCTAATCATGAAATGATAAATTCTAATTGATCATAACAAGGGATATAAAAGCATGTCTTTTGGGACAACAGCTTAAACCCATTAATTATATCCCAGGCAACCAAGGAAAAAAGGAAATTATTTCACAACGTTTTGAGATAGAAATAGCAATGCTTTTTGATAAAGCAAACAAACAGCAAGTTTTCTTCCCAAAGCTTAACCCTGAAGTACTGCATATACACAACTAAGTTATCTAACTAGCTTTGACTGATTTCTGAAAATGACCTTGAATAAAAAGGAAGTTGGACAAGTTCATGACCAGTTCAAGATTAGGCAATTTGTAAACAGATTCAGGAATGAAATAAACAGGAAAGTGCTACTCAGATTTTCCAGCCCAGCAGGA